CTCAGCCAGTGAGCCGCCGGTCCGTATGTGGGATCCGAACCCTCGGCAGGAGCGCCACCGCACTTCCCAAGCGGCGCACTATAGCAGTGCGCCACTGGGCCGGCCTCATGTCATTATTTCTTAAACAATACAGTGTAACAACTATTTACATAGCGTTTACATTGTATTATGCATCACAAGTAATCTAGAGAAGATTTAACATATGCAGGAGGATGTGCATAGGTTATATACAAACACAACACCATTTTATATCAGGGACCTGAGCATCAGTGGAGTTTTAGTGTCTGGGGGAGGCCGTAGACCCAACACCCCATGGATACTGAAGGAAGACTGTATGTATCACATATAAAAATATGTATACATACATATCTGTATATGTGTAAGTATATATGTGTGGAATGGTCCTTAATACCTTTTAAAATCTCAGGTTCCACACTACTTCTTTCTTGTTTTATATTTTTAAGTAAAAAAAAAAAAAAAAAAGCGTCTCACCTCGTTTCATCCTCTTACCTCTTCCTTTTCCCACAAACATGCCTTACCTATTTCAGTGATAGTCTCCTGACTGTTGGATTCTATATGCTGTTCAATTCCTAAAAGATACTGGTTTATTTTTGTCCGTGATACACCCTTCTTGAAAACAAAATATTCTGTTTTCAAAGTCATCTCTTCCTTCCTTCCCTGAACATTAGGATTCTTTGTTTATGTTGTTCCCCATTTAATTATGCATCATACATTGAAATGTATTTATTCTGGCAATTTTAATTTCTTCACTTGATTGATTATTGTCTTCGATGTTGCTTCATGCCTAGCATTTTACATAAGGAAGTAATATTGGTGGTACCAAACAATCTAAATTCCTGATAAACGGTACTAATTAAGTACAGTAGTAGTTTTTTGTTTTCTCTTTCCAGTGTCAGTAAACAATGGTGAATTTAGGAAGTGTCTGTAATGCTGTTGAAAACAAATTGGAGATCTGCAGAATTAAGGGAGCAATTTGGAACAGTTTACCCAGCTAGTGTGAGGAATTCAAAAAATGGTCCTTTTCCTTTTAACTATTGCAAAAGTAGACATTTGTGTCATCTGCCTTTGGATGTTTTTCTATGTAACTTCCATCACATGATCCAGAGCTATTATTCCGAGGATAGTTATACATTTGAGAGACTGTATAATCCTTAGAATGTGCTGGTATCTTTGATATGTAAATACGGTAAGGAAAGCAGTCTGGGTGTGCTTGAAGACATACTGGCCGGGAAACAGAAAACCTGGATTTAGATTCTGCCTTAACCGCTTACTAGCTGTGTAAGCTTTGTAAGTCACCTTATCTTTGTGATATTTCCTTGCTTCTCCATAAAATTACTTTAGCAATCTCGATCTCAGAGGGTCACATGATGCCTTTGAAGTCACCAGACCAGTGGCAGTGTGTGGCACACATTAGGTGCTTATTTTTTTATGCCTCTTACAGGGATTGTTAATTAAAAATGAGGAATTTATATAAAAAGTGAATTTGATAATTCACTAGTGACTTGAAAGAAATAAGCTGTGTGTGTATATATTTACTATCTTACATATATTTAGTTTAAATTCTGAGAGCAATTTAACACCCAGCTTGACATAGCCCTTGCCCAAAGTAAACTGCAAATAGCTCAGGAAATCACCATTATTACAGTTCTTTTTTTAAAGGTGGTGGTATCATTTTTAATTTTTTAAAAATTTATTTGTTAATATATAAATCTTTAAAGTATTTTTGGTTTTTTTGTTTGTTTGTTTGTTTGTTTGTTTGTTTTCCTTTTTTGTCTTTTTTACTGACTGGTAACGGGATCGCAACCCTCGGTGTCGTGCCCGTACTGNTTTGTTTGTTTTCCTTTTTTGTCTTTTTTACTGACTGGTAACGGGATCGCAACCCTCGGTGTCGTGCCCGTACCGGGGACCGGCAACGGGATCGCAACCCTCGGTGCTGCGCCCGCACCGCGCTCAGCCAGTGAGCGGGAACCGGTCTCCACATGGGATCCGAACCCTCGGCGGGAGCGCCGTCACGCTCCCAAGCGGCGCACTCTCCAGTGCGCCACCGGGCCGGCCCCTTAAAGTATTTTTGGAAGTAAAGAGAAGTGGGTATTGTAGTATTACTGCACTGACATTTTGATGTGTCTCTTTCTAGTCATTTTTTTCCTGGGCATAGAGGGATTTCATTTGTCCGATTTAATCATTTTGACTCCATTTAGTTGGGCATGTGCATTGGATGACAGACCCTGCCTGGAAGTGGCAGAGAAGTAGCAGGAGCTTTTCCAAAGGCATATCTTGGATCTAGTTATGGGACTTTTCTTATAATGCAGGATGCTCATTCATGAAGGAAGTATTTGCATATTAGCTTCGCCCAGGTGTCAGTTGGGAAGGATATTCCTGTCCCCCTGCGTCTGAGAAATACTGTTCCGAGTGCCATTTTCGTTAACTTTGCCTGGCTAGGACGACGCCTCTTCATACTCCTTTTGCCATGAGTGAGTCGATAATGTGTTCACCACATCTCTGCATTTCTATCATTGTGTGTTGCCTTTATATGTGAGTGCTAAAATAGCTAGTGTAAATTATTGGGTATAACCATTTTTGCTTTCTTGACCAATATTTCCTAAGGAATATTCCCTGAGAAATAGACCTCATAATGTGATTGAGTATTATACACAAAAGTCATTCTAATTAGAAGTGTTCAGGCAATGTTGACCTAAATAAAGCTTCTTGTTAGAGCCTCTAAAGTCCTGAGGGGCATTGTGAGATGTGTTTGCTAACTACCATTTTCCACCGTCATTTGGTCATGGAAACCTTTCTTCGAAGAACATCTGGAAGGATTTTGTTCTTAGGCATTATTTTGGGGAAATGTTGGTAAACATACTGCTCAGTTTTCTTCTGGCATTTAATTTTTGCCTGTAGGAAATCTGAGGCCAGCCCAGTTCTTCTTGTTTTTTTCTAGATAACCCCTCACCACCTGCTTGAATTTGTGTAGGGCTCTTTTTATTACTGTTCTATACATGACAGTGACCAGAGGAAAGCAGTCAGTGTGCGTGTGTATTTGGAAAGTGTCTGGGTATGTGGTCTCTGGTGCGGAGGTGCTGACAGGGTAGGAACATGCCCCTTGGTTCTCCTCGAAGCCTGTTGTCCCATTCCCAGATTTCTGATTGTTTTGGGCGCATGTGGTCTCTGGTGCGGAGGTGCTGACAGGGTAGGAACGTGCCCCTTGGTTCTCCTCGAAGCCTGTTGTCCCATTCCCAGATTTCTGATTGTTTTGGGCGCGCACTCTTGTTCCTCAGGAAAGCAGTGTGAGAGGAGTCCACTCCCATCTTCAGTGGCAGTTTGACAGACAGTAGAGGGGTCCTTGATTGTGTTTTTCAGTCCATTGCTTTTAAAAGTCCTAAACCACTACAGAAAACTCACTGGCACTACAGTATCACCCAAATATTGGAGCAGGGGTAGGGGACGGTTTCTAACCACATTTTTATCAAACTATTTTAGAGCCTTCCTTAGAAGCAAATCACTTGACAGAACTTAAAAGACAAAGTGTCTGTTTCTTAAATGCTGTAAGTTCAGCGGACGTGACAGTGTTTTCCTTTTGTACTACCCCTCAGTGGTGGTAGGTGTGTTCCTGGGGATGAACAAACACCTTCACTGCCCTCAAGTGGTACCAGAATAATTTAATATTAAAATAATAGAACCTGGGATTTTGTATTTTCAGTACTACATAAAAATGAATTGCTAAGGTAAAAGACCAACTTAGAAATTCACACCAGAATTTCGAAAACTATCAGCCCCATAGGATTGATGTATTATGTAAGTTAATTATTATATGAGTACAGCACTTAGACTAGTACCTGACATGTAGAAAGGTCTGTGTAAATGTTAGCTAATACCATTATTTATGGTGTAATGTTATCTATTTGACCTTAATCTCATTTACTTTTCTTTCTTTCTTGGTAGGTCAAACTGTGCTGAAAATATCCGCAAACACATTTTGCATACTGGCAAGCATGAAGGAGTCAAGATGTACAACTGCCCCAAGTGTGAGTACGGGACAAACGTTCCTGTGGAATTCCGAAACCACTTGAAAGAACAACATCCTGATATTGAAAACCCTGACCTCGCTTACCTGCATGCTGGTAAGGGACTGAAGCTATTAAAGTACTTATTTTTTAACAGGATTTCATTGAATTGAACACAGTAGTTATAATGCTATTTGTACAGTACCATGATTTATTTTAATGGAGTAGAGTATGTGATAGTATCTGTTTCAAGACCTATAAAAAAGTCCATTCCATTCTTATCCCACTCAGGGGATCCCACAGGTCTTTTCAACTGTATTTTATCAAAAGAGCAAATCTGACAAAATAGTCATCCTAGGACAACAAAATTAGTAATTGCAAACATTCAAAACATAGTTGAACTGAAATGAGAGTAGTTGTTTGAGCTTTGTATTTTGACTAATTGGTAAAATGATTAATTTTTTTCAAAAAATGTTTGTGATTTAGAATGTTATGCCCTACCTCTTTGCATCATCGTTTTCCAGTGAGTATCTGGAAAGGAAAAGAATGTGACTGAGGAGAGTGAGTCAGGCAGCTTGGGGGTAGCATAGTGCCACCGTTTCCTAGCAATCAGGAGGGGCCTGTTGCCTGGGTTTAGGAAAGTGCCTGCTGGTGATGGCAGTGGCTGCCAAGATTATCAAGGCCTCTGGGATTGCAAGTCAGCTGCTCTGGAAGGTATCAGAGATGTAGCAACAATTGCAGGGTAAAACAGTCTGATCCTGTAGCCCAACTTTTTGTTTAATTAACAAGTACTCCTCGAGCATTGACTTCTTACGGTGCAGAACAACAAAACGATGGATTGTGGGTGTGGGGCCTATTTGAGGAAGTACTTACCCTGAAGTAAATTTAGAGGAACATTCTGAAATTTAGCACACGCAATGTTGTGTTAAATAATGCCAGTTGATACTTTGTGATGCTTTGGGACCAGTTAGAGCTACTTTTAAACTCTACTTCTCTCCTTATTGGCAGTATGACCTCAGGCAGGCTGACCTCACCAGGCCTCAGATTTCTCATATATAAATGTGTGGGATAGTGCCTGCTTAATAGGGTCATTGTAAGAATTAAAAAAGATAATAGCCATGAAGCTGTTAGCACAGAACATTTTATATCTATCATGTGCAATACAAAGGAGGTGGTTGGCAGAGGTGGTTATGGTGGGGATCCCTATAATAGTGTTGGAAAGTCATGGGAAATCCCAACTAAAATACAAGACTCTGTTTTCTAAAACAATGAAACAATATTTGCTCATGTAATATCTACATAGAAGGAAATAGAACTTGATGAATAATTTGTTAGAATAATATTCTTAATACATTTGACAGCATATGGATATAAAGTTGTTTTTTGCTGATGTGTTCTTTCACATTTCTCAGTCAATGTTTATATGATTGACTTATTTAAGTGATGGTAGAATCTCTGATTTAGTAATATCTCTGTTGTTAGAATAATATTCTTAATACATTTGACAGCATATGGATATAAAGTTGTTTTTTGCTGATGTGTTCTTTCACATTTCTCAGTCAGTGTTTATATGATTGACTTATTTAAGTGATGGTAGAATCTCTGATTTAGTAATATCTCTGTTGTATCCAGGGCTATTTTTGGAAAACAAACAAACAAAAACAGGTTTCTGTTCTTCCTATTTCGATGAGTTTATCACTGTAAAGGTTTTGCACTAGACAGTTTATCAGCTTTAATTCACAAAAACAGATAGAGTCAAGTTGAAATATCTCTGGTATCAGTACCTATGGGTTCTTCATAAATATGAGTGTGTGACAGTGCAGAGGCTGGAAGCACTGCCTACAAAAGGAGGCACTTCAGGAAACGGCCAAGCGACATGAACTAAGTTATGATGGGTTGTCGGCAGAGTCCCCTCTTCAGGGTAGTAGTGCTTCACCGACCCCAGGTGCAGCACTGACTTATCTCTTTCTCCCTTCCCTTGCACCAGTCAGACAATAATAAATAAAGTATCTATAACTTTTAAAAGAAACAAATGCTGAAAGGGAAGACAGCTAATTGCAGACCCTAGAAATGTTGTTCACTGTGGTTCTGCGTGGTAAGGGCAGACTGCCTTCCTTACATTCTTACTGTGCTAGTGAGGCAGAATGTTACCTGGTGATGTGCTTTGAGATCTCATTTGTTACCAAAAACGTTCAAGAAAAATCATCCTTGTTCCCTTGTGCATGTGTGTGGTGCTCGTGTGTATATAGTTCTGGTTTTCTCTATATTATAATTATGTTAGAAACATTTTTCTACAGAAGTCATAGTAGCATTCCCAAGAATTTTCACAAAAGAAATCCAAGTTATACATCTGGGGGTGTTGCCTGTTTATTCTTTCCTATGTGTGGCAATATTGCTCTTCAGTAATATTCTTGGTTTAATAAACTAGCTTATTAAGAGAAAACTTTAAATAGGGTAAAGTTCTTTAGAGTAGCTTTTTTTGAACCTCAGAATTCTAAATCACCTGTGATACATTTCAGGGTAATATTTGAATCACATTGTCACTGCCCTAATTACCTGTTGTTGTGTGTTGGTATTAGGCACTGTAGTTGAAGAACTCAATGACAGGAGGTTGTTAAAACACAATGGAGTGGCAGAAAACCTAAGGGTAGTTCACATCCAGTCCTGAAGGACACTCTTAGCTGCATTCTCCTGCTATCTGCAAGGTTAACATGTTGAGACTTTTGTAACTCAAAATTCAGTGATATAGTATGCAGTTCTTTTAATAAAGGGTTGAGTTTAAAACTACCCTAAGCACCATCCCCCTCCAAAAAAAATCTCCCTCTAGTCCTGACTTGGCTATGCCATGTAGATGAGACTTCTAGAATTCCCTAAGAAGAAAAACATTTAACATTTAGCAGCAGAAAAAGACCATAAATTGTGCGATTTGGGGTATCTTAAATTTTAGTTGCGATGATATTTGGAAATATACATATTAAAATAAGGTATTTTATTTTTTGTTTGAAATGTTCCACAGGAAGAGGTTTTTCATTGGGTGTGCTATTCGCCTGGTATCTCTACATTGGTGTATAACTGCAGTTTTGTAGGTAATGTAATTTATGCAAATACCATAAAACTGGAGCTTTGAGGAGACCAGATTCAGGTCCCTGCTGTGCCACTTTGTAACATTGGGCATTTTGAAGATCTATGAGCTTCAGATTCCTTATCAGTGAATTTAGAAGTTTTAATGAATTATTTCTAGTTCCTCCTAGCTCCAGCATCCTGTGTTTCTCTTGGTGTGGTCTTTGGGGCAGGATAGTTTCTAACTTAAACTTTATCATTCCCTTGATATATGACTTTGGAAACTTTGTTTAACTCTGTGGGCCTCAGTTTTCCCCTCTCCAAGATGGTGCTACTGGCTTCTACCACACAGTGTTCATGTGATCTAAATGAGATAATACTATATGTAAACTGTTTGCTGTGATAATCCTTAACCTAAATGGCTGCCCAGTTGTTTTTTCTTCTCTGTCTAGCAGAGGTGGATGATTTATTGTATTTTTTCTCAATGCTTTTTGGGGACTAGGAAAATGATTTTGGTATTGTTTTACACTTCAAAATCCAGGGAATGAAAGGCTGTATGTGAGTTTTAATTTTAGTTGTAACCCTGTTTGAAACACAGGGGAAAAGTGGCTTATTTATTTTTTTTAACCATGGTTTATTTAGAAATGTATTATTCAATTTCCAGGCAGTTTGGGATTTTCTGATTATCTCTTGGTTAACTATTAAAACGGTAATAGAAACCGATTTCTAGTTTAAATTTACTGTGTTTGCAGAACATAATCTGAATTATTTTAGTCTTTAGAAATTTGCATAGGCTACTTTATGCCCAGCAAATGGTGAGTTTTGGTAAATGTTTGAGACATGCTAGAAAAGAATGTAAATACTGGTGGTTTGGTGCCATAGTCTACATTCTTTGTCAAATTTTTTCACTGTGTTCAGATTGCCTGTATTCTTACTGATTTTTTTTAATGTTGATCTATCAGCTACTCAGAGGGGTAGCGCAGCCTCGTAACACCAAGGTCAAGGGTTCAGATCCCCATACTGGCTAGCCGCAAAAAGAAAAAAAGAGAGAGAGGTATATTGAAGTTTCCCACTGTGATTGTGGATTTGTCTATTTTTATTTTTAATTATGTTAACTTTGGCTCTATATATTTTGAAGATATATCACTAGGTACTTAGAACTTTATGATTGTTTTATACACATACACATGTACACACACATATAATAAAGAGTATATATATGTTCCTTATAATTATGAAGTGTTCCTTTGTATCTGTAGCAATTCTGCTCTTTCGTATTAATGTAGCTACACCAGCTTCTTTATAAGCAGCATATAGTTGCGTTTTGTTTCTTTATCTGCCTGGACAATTTGGTCTTTTATGTGAAATAGTCTTTTACTTTAGTATGTATACTTAATGTAATTATTGATATCATCATAGTCAAAAATCAAAACTACCCAAATGTCCATCGAGTGGAATGAAAAGGTTGTGTATTTACATAAGGAACACTCTATGTCAGTGAGAGTGAATGAACTACAAGCACAAGGAACAATGTGAAATAAATATCATGGTGTTGTCATTGGGTGAACCAAGCCAGACACAAAGGAGTACATTCTGTGTGATTACATTTACGTTAAATATAAAAACAGGCAAAATAAATGTACAGTGTTAGAAGTCAGGGTATGTTTTCCTTTGTGGGCATCATTCACTGGAATGAGGCACACTGGTATTGGTGACATTCTGTTTCTTAATCCCAATATTGGGACACTGTTGTGTTCACTTGGAGAAAATTCATCAAACTCTCCTGTGAGTTATGTACTTTTCTGTATATACTTTTTAAAAACAGCATTCCTTCCTCCTCCAGATTTCTAAAGCAGTTCATTTATGTCCACTCTATATCTAATATGATGAGGTTTTACAATCACATTAATCCCCACAAAATTAACATCAAAGTGGTCCGAATTTTTTGTCATTGTATATTTTTTTTTCTATTTAGTGAAATTTGTTTCATTTCAGAAATGATCTTGATTTGATCTCTACAGTTTTAGCCATTGTATTTTTGTCATCTCTTTTTTCCA